TTAATGACCATTGTTTTGGAATGGGATGACAGCAATGGAGTGGTGTGATGGTCCGGTGTCCACAGACTTTTGCCCATATACATAACATCAGAAGCACAGATTCACTACCTGCAACCCTGAGTCAGGGCGCCGGAGCCGGCTGCATTTCGTCCTGGAATGGTCTGTGTATGCCCTGCTGTTACAAAATGTAACAGACTCCCTGCAGTCGGTTCCCGAGGCTGTAACATCCATTATCGGACTTTGGCGCCCTCTTTTGGTCAATCCGAAGAATTACAATGTTACTGATGTAAAGTGATGGCTCGTCCTTAGGATGTGTCAGAGGCTGCTGAGGCGGAGGGGTTGGGGGCACTTGGGGTATGTTTTACTTTTCCCCACTGACCATCGATGTGGGGGAATTTTTTTGACTGGCCGCAGCCAGATCCCCCCAATAGTAAACTGGATCCTTGTATAATACTTTTGAGGAGATGGATTATTATACATGAGATGGATTATTATACAATGTCCACTATTTTGGTAGATCGATCCTTTAATCAATATTCAGCCTGTCAGTATGTAGGGACCGGTGGGATCACCAAGGAAAGAGGCAGTGAGCGGTCCCCAGCACACAGAGAGGTCCAATTGACCCGAATTTCCAGTATTGCTCATCCTACATTTGCTGTCCTGGACTCCGAGTCTCACCGCCATGTGTTTGTCTCCGCAGGGATATCTGTGGAAAAAGGGCCACAAGAGGAAAAACTGGACGGAGCGCTGGTTCGTCCTAAAACCCAACGTCATGACCTATTATACCAGCGAGGATTTAAAGGACAAAAAGGGAGACATCATCCTGGATTCAAACTGCTGCGTGGAGGTAACAAGGCGACCGAAACACCTTTCATTATGAATGTGAAAAGAGAACAAATTTATTTCTGTTTTTTTTATTTCTAGTTATGACAACGTTGGGGAGATTCCTCCTCACTTCCTGCCTCAGTGACACCACAGACATTTAGATGTTTAGTTTATTTTGTAATGCAAGACCAGTCTATATACATTGTATGCTCCATCCAGTCCAGTCTATATACATTGTATCCCTCATCCAGTCCAGTCTATACACATTGTATTCTTCATTTTGTTTTTAGTCTTTGCCGGACAGAGATGGGAAGAAGTGTCTGTTCCTTGTGAAGTGTGTGGATAAGAGTTATGAGATCAGCGCTTCTGATAAAAAGAAGAAACAGGAGTGGATTCAGTGTGAGTTTATTTCTGAGCGGAATGTTCTTTAGGACGGTGCGGGTACGATGACCCGGGGGTGAATACTTCTGTTCCTGTTTCGGTCCGTACCACCACATTTTGGGCAGCTTGTGAAGGTTTTGCACAAGAAATCCCTTCCACCATAAATAATCCCCATTCCCCCCACACGTCAGACATTTCTTGTTTAGAGGATCTCCAGAGTTCTTTATTTCCCCGAGAAGAGTTGCCTGGGGTGTGAAAGAGCCGAAAACTCCTGAACATTTCTAGCTCAGTAATCGTTTATTAAATGACATTCCCCATCAATGTCTATTGTGCAGAATTCATGGAGAGCATTAAAGTTTATCTGATGGCAAATCAGTTGTCACGGAACAAGTGTCCCCATTGGAAGATTTCTCTTCCATTACTATTAGTGTTCTGGTGACATTTGTTGGCTTTCCCGTTGACAATGGTCACCAATACATATAGAGAGATTGAGCCTCCCCAGCAGGGACACAGAGATCAGTGAAAACTTGCTAGGGGTTCTAACCCCTCATCCTCCATCCAAATCCAAATAAAGTCTTTGCGTTAGATATCCTTTAAAATGAACGGGTTGGCATAGCGCTGCTAAAAGGACCATAATGTAATAAAATAAAGATCATTGAAGCACCTTTATGTGGAAAGCAGCCACACGGTGGTTCCTTGTAGCTGTTTGAATCTTGAAATCTTGTGTAATTGCCTTGTGATTTAGGAGAAGCTTGGAAGACAGCATTTACTATAAGCCAAAAATATGTGGGCACCACACTATAACACTTACCTGTATGGCCAAAAGTATGTGGGCACCTATCTATGATGGAGGTCAGGTGACTCCAGTGAGGTTCTGTTAATACTCCATCATACAAAGACATTGTAGACAATTGGGCTCTTCCAGCTTTGTGGTGACAGTTTGGTGAAGACCCTTTTCTGTCCCCCCCATGACTGTCCCCTGTGTACAAAGCCAGCTCCATACAGACATGGTGTGTCCAGCTTAGTGGAGGAACCCGAGTGTCCTGCACAGAGCCCCGACCTCATCCCTACTGAGCACCTCTGCGATGAATTGGAGCCAGGTCTCCTCATCTTAGAGTTCTTCTAAGGGTTCTTTCAGAAGAGAGCAGTGGAAGACTGGTAGGCAGAAGATCTGTCTTCCACTGCTCTCTGCTCATGGAACCCTTAACAACCTCTGGAGGAACCCTAGGACCAGACCACCTAATTCACAATTGGCATTTGAAATCATCTCAGAGGTGATCTACAGAACACTGACCACCTTTGGGATGAATTGGAACATCGATTGTGAGACGGGTCTTCTCATCTAACATCAGTACCTGACCTCACAAATGGGACAATTTACCACAGATACCCTCCAAAATCTTGTGGAAAGTCTTAGGATGGTATGGCTGCAAGGATGGTGGGTGACTCCATATTAAAGGCCATATTTTTGAATTGGGATGTCCAACAAACTCATATATTTGTAGGGTAGGTGTCCACAAATCTTTGGCCATATAGTGTATTTCAGGGTCTTTTATAGACTTGAGGGGTCGTTATCACCAGAACAAGCATGTGCCAAGAAGGTGTCACAGGTCATGGAATGGTTGTTCCAGGTCCATTGATTTGAGTCCTCAGAACATTCACCTTCAATACTAAGTCTGCAATATGCAGCTACCGTATTCCTGTGAGCTTCCCCTCTAAGACCTGAATTGTGTTCCTCCACAGCAATCCAAACGGTGGTGAATCTGCGGAAGATGGGGATCTCGTCCCCCCACAAGGACGCCCGCCAGAAACGAAAGGCCATTCGGCAGAAGTTACAGGCAGAGCAAGAGGAGGTGCAGAGGAAGATGAAAGACCTCCAGGTGTCCAATGAGACAAAACAGCAGGAGGTGGAGATGATGAGGACGGTGAGTGTGAGAAAAGGGATGATAGGAGGCATATTCCGCATGGGGAAGAAAGACAGAAGTCACTCGAGGAAATTCAACTCTCAATCTGGTGCAGAGCGCGCTCCACTTTTGCTAATATATAAAATAATACGTTTTTATCCGATGGTATCTTATTATTTTAAAGCAGACGTAAACCCGATGTCTAAACTCTCACAGAAGCCTTGACACGTGAATGTTATTTTCTAGTTTGTTTTCTAAGCTGGAGCTTTCTTCCAAATAATCCCCAGTGATCCTGCCAGAAAGGTTCTTTGTTCAGGCATTTCCTGTTATAGAGTGACAACCTCCTGCCTCTCCCAGTCGTGCCTCTGCATTGCCCCCCCATAGCATACTCCTCTTGTGGAGGCTACAGGAAGCCGTGGTGATGCATATTGCTCAGGCATGGTCCACCAGGGTCACTAGTAGCCAGTCCAGAGCAATGATGTGCAGCCAACACTGGAGCTAGTGCATGCAGACAGGAAGTGGCTGAAGGAGGCTGGAGGAAATTGGCAGCAACAAGATAGGAAAATGGTTTATGGTACACAGCGCAGAGAGCAAATAAACGTCATTAATTGGAGATTTAGATTTAAGTTAATAATATCAATGATAAAACATTTTGATTTGAAGCCGGCTTGCTTCTCTGTTGCTGTATTGTTTCTTTAGAATATAAGTGATTGTGTCATCTAGATCTCTTCTGTTTTGTTTTTGCAGCAACTAATGGAGGCCGCTGCCCATGCCGCGCAAGAGGAGAAAAAGCGTCACGAGACGCACATGGAGCTACAGGACCGCTTCAGAGAGGAGCTGGAACGGGAACAAGTGGTAATTGTCGGAGGGTGCTAAGCAAAGCAGCAATTCTATGATATATTTTGGCAGAACTGATGCAGTAACGTTCGTGTTTGTGAGCTTGCTGGTTACTCAGACATAGGGGCAGCAACTGTTCTCATATGGTGTGCTGAGCTTAATAGTCCTGCCACTAGGTGGTAGTGCTGATCTGAACTCTGGGATTAAAAAAGTTAATGTATGTGTGTGTATATATATAGATATAGATATAGAGAGAGAGAGAGAGAGAGAGAGAGAGAGAGAGAGAGAGAGAGGAGGAGGGAGGAGGGGAGAGAGAGACACTTACTGCCATTACTTTTGCACGATATTCTAATTATTCGAGTTTCACCTGTATATTATTAATATTATTATTATTATTTTTTTCAGTGGGCCCCTTTCAATTCTTCTTAAGTCATGGAGTAGAATAATCAGGTCTAATACTTACCCTACTCCTCACTCCCGCAGGCTTTCATCACCCTCCCCTTCTCCCTGATGCTCCAGGTTGTCGGTTGGCCCTCACCATCCTCATGTACAATGCAGGGCTATTGGTTCTGCATTGTGCATGATGACATCAGAGTGTGATCGCCGGCTGGAGGGGCCCTGCTTTCCCTTGACTCTGCTTCCATTGCAATAAGAAACCTAGGTTGTATTCTGGGTGCCTTTGATCACTTTTTCATATACTAATACACTGAACTCCTGAAGTGGTGTAACGGAAGTCCTGTGGAACACGTTGGGTCATCCGCACCCTGCTGGAAACACCAGGATGCATTGTAAATGAATATGTTGCGATGTCATCTGAGATTGATACATATTTATGAATGTACAAGATGCTGATGTGATATAGATGGTTCATTAAAAGGCCCAAGGACCAAGAAGTATGTATTTAATTGCACTTACAAAAGTGACAGCGACAAGAGTGTTGGATAGTTAGCCGCCATGCGTAGAAATCTCTCCAGCCTTCAGACTTTGGCTCTAGCAGTGAAAGCAAGCCGCAGTCATTGTCCGGAAGGTGGAACAGAAGACACAGCACCGTCACAGGGGGCCGACCATACATGCTGCAACCCCTACAGTATACAGCACAGGGTTGTGGGTACGCATTTTGAGCATGAGACTTCCCCCTTCATCAGCCTATCCTGACAGACTACCTCTTGTCCTTAACCACTTGCCGTCCGCCCATTGTAAAAAAACGGACGGACGGCACTGCAGCATTGGGGGGTTGCCGTCTCCAGACGGCATTTTTTTTCTGCTCGCGCGCGCCCGGGCAGAAAAGACCCGACCCAATGCAAACACCCGTTACCGGGTGTTTCACATATAGACGATTGGCGGCTCCATAGCCCGCAGATCGTCTATATGTGCTCGTTTTTTCGATCTCTGCTTCATCAGCTTCTTTTGGGGTCCCCAGGTGACATTAGGGGTCCTACAGCAATCATTTTAGGGCCATCAATCACTGATAATGGTTAAACATCCTTTACAGCCATTTTAATCAGATCCGGAGTAGATATAAACAAACAATGTCACCAGTATTCTATGTAGGATTCATCATACAAACTATGCAGGAAAAGAAACATTTTTGCTATGTTATCCTCTCTCGATTATTTGTATATCTTTAGATTCGGCAACAAATGGAAGTGGAGGTAGCGCAGAAGTCCTCAGAGTTGGAGCAGTATTTGAAGAGGGTGCAAGAGCTGGAACAAATGTATCACCGACTGCAGGAGGCGCTAGATGACGAGAAGCAAGCCCGACTTGAAGAGGAGAGCGCGCGCCTCTTACAGGCCAGGTGAGGGCGCTGTCTGCAGAAGGAAAGGGTTAAAGGGGCTGATGCACCGGCAAACGATTTGTTTAGTTTTGCTCCGGATTGTGCGTTATTTTAATTTTTCGGGTCCGAAAGTCAATTCGTTTCGGGATTTGGACGAAATGCGCTAGCGGTAGTCTGTACGACTTTTTTTCATTTCATTTTCCTTTCGTTCGTTTCGTTACAGCAAAGTGACATTAACATTTTTTTTTCTTTAATGTCACTTTGCTGCAACGAAAAATTCATCCACAGACTATCGCTAATGAATTTCGACCAAAATTTCGTTTTCGGAAAATTCAGATTCTTGTTCATTCGTCATTTCTGTTATTCGGAAATTCTGATACATCCGAATCTCCGAATAACGAAAAATTCGTCCGAAAAACTAATTTTTACGAAAACGAAACGCACATGTCCAAAATCAAGTGTCTTCACTAGATGGAGACGAGGAGCATAGGGGATAGATATTTATCATGGGCACTAGATGAAGATGTGAGCATAGGAAGTAGGGAGCATGGAGCTGGCTTCCCGACCAATCAGGAACCCGGGCGGCGAGTCATTACCCGCCCCCCGGCTTCCTGATTGGCTAGAAAGCCGGCTCCATGCTTCCTCATCACCTGGTGATGAGGGCGCATGGAGACGGCTTCGCGGCTAATCATGAAGCCGGGCGGCGAGTCATTAATGTGACTTTCGGTATTGGCGAGTAGCGGGAAAAAAATATCGGTACTCGATACCGAAAAAACGATATCGGCGCATGCCTAATAGGAAGTATTATATTAAGGCCTCATTCACACACAACGCAAACAAAATTGTATATTGCGTATATATACACACGCGTCTATGCGCGTATATAAGAGCGTATATGCGTGCACTATATGCAATCCCAGAATGCATCACTCGTAATGGAATTTTTTATGTGCTGTACGCGCGTATACGCTCGTATACGCTCGTATATGCGCGTAAATACGCAGAAATACGCTGCCCGGACGCATCTCTGATCCATTCTGTTTTTGCGCATATATACGCTTTGTAAATATACGGCTCCATACGGGGCTATGTGTATGGAGCCATTTATTTGCATATGCTGCATATGGTACAATACGCACGTATGCGCGTATACGCGCGGCAGTGTGAATGAGTCCTAATACTTATTTCCTATGCTCCTCGGCTCCATCTAGTGGTCATAATGTGGTATTTTCCGACAATGACAATTAAGGGGATAAAATAATGTTTTACATTTTCTTTTTAATTTAAACATAAAAGTATTAATAGCTGAAAGCAAAGCAGGTATCCGAGCTGCCAAACTTATACTGAGCTCAGCCCTGCAGATTACACAGGGGGAACTCTCCCTGTGTTATCATTGGAGCTCTGTGACAGCCGGGCGCTGCGCTCTTTTTTATCAGAAGCACACAGAGCTCCACATATAGAGCGGGCGGCTATCACACTGGCCGCAGAGCAGAGTGCTGCTCATTACACAGGGAGAGCTGCAATACCTGGTGTAATCCGAAGGACGTGGCTATTAGATTGGCAGCTCAGCCCTGCACAGTGCAGGACATGACAGGGCAATGCAGTGGCAGGAGAGGCTCTGCAGCATTGTGCCCAAGGCGGGTCCCTCTTCTCCTTCTGCTTTGACCCAGCCCTGCTTGATGACAATAATCTCCCGAGATACATTCTGAGGACAGTGAGCTGCTTGTGACCAGGAAGTGTTGGAGATCCTTTTTTTATATTTTGCTATCTAAGAATTCTCTGCACATTTGTGGCGTACAGCCAACCACGGGGGTTATTTTCAGACTTTAGGTCGGCTTTAATGTCAATTCTTTTGGAATGATGGCAATTTGGAAGAAGAGAACCATAGCTTGCATCCATCAAGTATGGCCTTGACCTTACCGTTCTTGACATCAACAAAGAAAAGATAGCATGGGAGG